TGCTTTACACAATTGATGTATGTATGGATTGTGATAATAGTTGTATGAGCCCCTAATAAAACGATTTTTTAAAAAAGAAAGAAATGAAGCTGGAGATTGCAGGAGAGAATTATGCAACAAAAATGGCTTGTTCATAGCAATTATCTTTCTTAAATAACACAAATGGTGACAATCCATGTGGATTTCTCCAGATGGATTACACAGATATCAAATTGACTCCAGCTGTGGAAAGAGATGATGGAGAAGCTCAATATCAGCAGGCAAAACTAGGCGCAGGGGCCAACTGTGGAACCAACCAACCAATTGTTTATATACAAGTTCAAATTGAAGCTGAAGAAAAGAAAACGAGCCCGGGACATCCAAAGTATGGCCTTGAGTCTATCCCACTGAGGCTTGAGAACATCTCAAGAACAGATTTGATACGTTGAACACTAATGACAGAAAACCTGATGAGCTTTGGGCAGACATCAAGAGCATCGGCCGTGAAGAAAGTAAATGCTCAGTAAAACAAAAAAGGAAAGAAAGAAAAAATCAAAGTATAAGTCAGAAGAAGAGATTCTGAAACTTGCTCTTAACTGTAGAAAAACGAAGGCACATGGAAGTAATGAAGTCTGAACAGAACATCTCAAAGGGAAGCTGGAGAAGACAAAGTGAAATATACTGAAATGTGCAAAGACTTAGAGTCCGAAAACCAAAATGGAAGAACAAGCTCAGCATGTCTTAAACTAAGGGAACTCAAGAAAAAAAATCCAAGCCTTGATTTGCAATAATAAAAGATTCTGTGGTCAATATATTGAATGATGCAGGAAGCATGAAAAGAATACACAGTCACGGAGCCAAAAAGAACTACTGTACATGCAACTATTTCAACAGGTAGCATATGATGAAGGACCAGTGGTACTCAAGGAAGACATCTAAACTGCACTAAGGCATTAGCCTAAAGCCAGACTCCAGGAATTGATGGAATACCAATGGAAATGTTTCAACAAACTTAAGAACCATTGGAAGCACCTACTTATCTATGCCAAGAAATTTGGTAGACAAGCTCCATATTTGTACCCATTAAAAAGAAAGGTGACCTAACAGAATGCTCAAATTATATAACACTATTCATTAATATCACATGCAAGTAAAATGTTGTTGAAGATCATCCAATGATGATTGCTGCCAGTGCATTGACAAGGAGCTGTCAGACATTCTGGCCAGATTCAGAAGAGGTATGGAACAAGGGATATCCTTGCTGATGTCAGATGGAGTTTGATTGAAAGCAGAGCATACCAGAAAGATGTTTACTTGTGCTTTATTGACTGTGCTAAGGCATTTGACACTGGACCATAATAAACCATGGATGGCCTTGAGAAGAATGGGGATTTCAGAGCACTTCAAGGGGCAGTTGTACAAACAGCACCAAATAATACTGCATAGATTTAAAATCAAGATGGGTGTGTGTTAGGGTTGTATTGTTTCACCATACTTACTCAATCTGTATGCTGAGCAGATAATCAGAGAAGCTGGATTCTATGAGGAAGAATGCAGTATCATGACTGGAGGAAGGCTTATTGACAACATTTGACATGCAAATGACACAACTTTGCTTGTTGAAGATAAGGACGACTTGAAGCACTTGCTGATGAAGATCAAGGGTTGCCGCCTTCAGTATGGATGACAACTCAGTGTAAAGAATACTGAAATCCTCACAACTGAATCAGCATAATAAGTGGAGAAAAGATTGAAGTTGTCAGGGATCAATGCTCATGGAGCCAGCAGTCAAGAGATCAGAGGGATTGCATTGGGCACATCTGCTCCACAAGACGCCTTTAAAGCGTGGAAAAGCAAGGATGCTTATTTGGGGACTAAGTTGTGCCTGACCCAAGCCATGGCATTTTCAGTAGCCTCATGTGTATGTGAAAGTTGGACATTGAAAAAGAATGACTGAAGAAGAATCTATTTGAATTATCATGCTGGCAGAGAATATTGAAAAGACCAAGGTCTGCCACAAGAGCAAACAAATCTGTCTTGGAAGAAGTACAGCCAGAATGCTCCTTGGAAGCAAGGATGGCAAGACTTCCATCTCATGTACTTTGAACATGTTATTAGGAGAGACTAGTCTCTGAAAAGGGGCATCATGCTTGGCAAAGCAGAGGGGCAGCCAAAAAAAAAAAAAGGAAGGCCCTCCACAAGATGGATTGACACAGTGGCTACAACAATGGGTTCAAACATATGAACAATTATGAGGATGGTGCAGGACTCAGCAGTATTTCGCTCTGTTTTACATAGAGTAGCTGTGAGTCAGAACTGACTTACTGTCACCCAACAAGAACAACAGCTCAATTTTCAAATGCTTTATAACACAAATTGCTATATTAGTAAATGCTGTGTGTTTAATGACCTACGTGGTAATGAAAGAACACAGGAAGGCATCTAGAAGTGTGCTGGATAGAGATGAGTTGTGCTTAGAGGGTGATACAGAATTAGCCAGGTAGAAAAGGACTGCAGGATAGGGATGGGGGAAGCAACCTCAGAAGTGCAGAATTTAAGAGACATAGTTCAACTTATTCTCTAAGAGGCACCATCATGCATAGATTCTGTGCTCTCAGTGAAAAGGCATAGATGCATGCAATATTGTGACATATTTGAAGCAAAAGATTTTGGCGGGCTATTAGAATGTAATGTGGGCACAATGTGAGAGATAAAGAAGGAAGTAAGAAATGGAGGTTCTCACGTGGCATTCCTTATCCGGAAAGGGCTTGGGACCACTATGCTTTAATGTTGAGTTTATTCATTAAGCATATCTTATCACTTTCGTTGTGTTCATTTAAAATTTCAGGTTAGCGGCATATACAGAGTTACAATGAAAAATAGAAGCCAAGTCAGGGAGAGCTGTCTGGGCCTAGGGTAGTAGGAGGAGTCAGTGAGTTATAGCAGAGATACCATTTTGTTTGTTTATTTTTAATTGAAGGATAAGTATTGAGACACACAGCCAGGAGAGAAAGTTTCTTCCTTCGTTCTTATAATTAAAGTGAATAGAAAACCTTTCTCAAGCATATTTTAGAATATTAGAAAAAGGGATCATGGAGAAATGTGAATTATTGAAACAATACTGTTGAATTTTTATTCTGACAGATCGCTTTAAATATCACATTGTTAAGCAGATCTTCTCTGGAGGAGACCAAACTTTTGTACTTTGCTCCAAATATGAGGTAACATTTCTTTTGACTATTATTTTGGGGGCAGAGTAATAGTGAACCCATATTTATTTTTAAAATTTAAATACATGAGAGCAATATGTGTTATTTCTATCAATAGTTTCTCATTAAGCAAACTGAACTTTGGAGACGTTACCTCCATTTTTCTCCCTTGAAATGCTGATGATTTTCCTGGTATTTTAAATCACAGAGTTCTAAGTTGTCACTGAAAACTATGCGTTTATATCCATACTTGTTCCAACAGTGGACTTAAAGAGGCCGACAGTTTGCAGGAGCCCTGGTGGTGGTGTGGTTACACAATAGGCTGCTAGCTGCAAGGTCAGCGATTCGAAACCACCAGCTGTTGTGCAGGAGGAAAAGGAGGCTTTCTCCTCCTGGAAGTGTTACCTTCTCAGAAACCAAAAGGGGTAGTTCTCCCCTGTTCTTTAGGGTCACTGTGAGTTAGTGTTTTCAGATGTCCTTTGTTATTTGAAATCTGCTCCTGGAACCACACTGCATTTCTATCCCTGGTAATGTCTCCGGCAGCACCGTCGTAGATAAGCCAGGAAGAACAAAGTTAAAAGTATCTCCCACGGTCTAAGGTAGACTGAAATGCAAACCCAGGTATGACAGAGCTGTAATTCATTGCACCTTTTCTGGGCAGAGGAAAGTAGTCTAAAATAATTTACTCCCTCCAGTTACTCAACAAACATTTAAGGAGAATTAACTATAGGTGGGGCATAGATCCATTATCCTCTCCTGGAGAACCCATGAATGGACAATTGGTGGTGCTAAGCTAACAGAATGGGCCAGGAAGTAAAATGAGGCAGTGTAGATGCAGGGAGCTCTTTCAGCCCAGGAAACTCCCATGATGAGCCTGGCACTTTACTATCTTTAAATACATAAACGTTTAGCCATCTAGTCAGTATTTTTAATGGTTTGGGTAGAAAGGGCTCTGATGTAGCTAAAGACGGAAGGTTTGACAGCTAAAACTTGTGATTTGGATATTTTCCAGGTCAGGAACCTGGATGAGGCTGTTTAAAGCTGCTCTCTGGGTAACTGGGCACTGCTGCTTTAGAATTTTTTAGACCTACCTCTAGAGCTTCTCAGAGAAGTCCTGAGGAAAGCTGAATTTAGTCTTTGTTTCTTTAAGATGCCGATACAATAGAATATCTGAAGCTCGGCCAGAAATAGGTTTGGGTTTGTGTGTAATAGAGTTTTGAATATTCATTTTCATAAGAAACAGATGAGTAGTCTTACTCAGCTTTAATTGTCTTGTGAAACTCAAGGCAGTAAGACTGTTTCAGCCTTTAAATAGATATGGCATATGAGAGAGGGCATTGAGTCTTCCACTGCAATTAGTACTCTTGGGACTCAGAGGCAACACATTGGTGGGAAGGAAGTTGTTAGTAGGTGCAGGCAAGTCAATTCTGACCCCTGGTGTAACCCCGTGGACAACAGAAAGAAACACCGCCCAGTCTTGCGCGGTCCACACAGTTGTTCTGTGCGTGAGCGCATTGTTGCAGCAGCCACTGTGTCAGTCAATCTCCTTGAGGGAGGACCTTCCTCTTTCTAGCTGCCTCTCCGCTTTAACAAGCTTGATGTCTTTCTGCAGGGTCTTCCCTAAATATGTCCAAAGAATGTAAGATGAAGTCTCACCATCCTTACCTCTAAGAAACACTCTGGCCATACTTCTTCCAAGGCAGACTTGTTTGCCATTTGGCGGTCATGGTACTTTCAGTAGTCTCTGCCAGTGCCACAATTCAAATGCATCCATTTTTCTCATCTTCCTTATTCAGTGTCCAACTTTCACATAGGAGGCAATTGAAAATACCATGACTTGGGTCTGGGGTGCCTTATTCTTCGAAATAACATCCTTATTTTTCAACACTAAAGGGGTCTTGTGCAGCAAAGTCACACAATGCAATGCCCCTTTTGAACTCTTGACTGCTGTTCCTATAAGCATTGATTGATCTAAGCAAGATGACAATGCTTCACAACTACAATTTTTTCTCCATTTATCATGATGCTACCTATTGGTCCAGTTTTGAGGATTCTGGTCTTGTCTACACTGAGTTGTGATCGATATTGAAGGCTTCAATCCTTGATCTTCATCAGCAAGTGCTTCAATTCCTCCTCACTAGGGTTGCGTCATCTGTACATCTCAGGCTGTTTAATTAGACTCTGTGTCAGTCTGAGAGACTAGAGAAACAAATTCGTGGACACTCATATGTGTATAAGAAAGAGCTTTATATACAAGAGCAACTGAATATTGAGAAAACATCCTAGCCAAGTCCAGATCAATTCATTAAGTCCAATATTAGCCCATATATCCAAAACCAATCTATAAAGTCCTCTTCAGACTCACGAAACACATGAAAACACTGAATGCAGGAAGAGCACAGGTTAGTAGGTGGGAATTCTTGTGGATCCAGTGGCGTTGTGAGCATCTCAGAGCTGGCAGGGATCTCCACGTGGCTCCTCCAGTTCCCAGAGCACAGGGTCTGTCAGCATAGTGCCATGTGTCTTATCAGTAGAGCGTCTCTCAGGGAGTGAACCTTGTCAGTAGAGAGTCTGCAAGGGAGTGAACAGAGAGAGCACGTCTCCTGCCTCCCGGGTGGAAATACCAGAGTTCCCAGAATCCTCAGGAGAAGACCATGCCCACACAGAGGCCTCATTGGCTATGACCTGATTGACAGACTAGACTCCATCCTTTCACTCTCAATCTTCTCAAACTGACACCAGATTATGTAACTCCACAGCCTCCCTTCAATTCTGATGCCACATTCTTCATCATATAAGCCAGCGTCTCTGTAATTAGAATACTACGATATTAGAGAAACAAGGCAGGCTAAAGTTTAAACCACTATGAAGACAGCTGCATTAAAAAAGGTCAGATAACAGAGAAAAGATATATAATAAGTTCAATATCGATTAGGAATTTGTTGTTCTTCCTTTGTAAAGCCATCAACTAGGCAAACATTATTTAAAATATGACCACAGGTGATTGTTTAGATATAGAAGCCACATCATTTGTATCTATTCTCGTATTATTATCTCTTAAGGAACCACTTCAAGAACAAAGAACTATCTGACTAGACGAATTTTTAAAACCCACTACCCTGGAGTCACTTCTGGCTCATAGAAACCCCAAAGGGCACAATGGAACTGATCTATAGAGTTTCCAAGTCGGCACTCCCGACAGGAACAGACTGCCACTCTTCTTATGGAGAGTGGCTGGGGGGCTGAACTGCTAACCTTTTACTTAGCAGCAGTGTGCTTTGCCCTGCTCCATCAAACTTTTAGTGTAGACATAGTCCACTCATTCATTAAGGGTAGACCTTGAGGTGGAAGAGGCAAGGGAAGGAATTTTATTCAGATTACCTTTTGATATATTTGAATCTAGGTCTTGACAAGTTAGTGGGCATAAACGTCATCTCTTCCTTTTCCTCTCATCTTCTGTCTAGGTCACGATCCCAGAGGGAACATGGGGGTGCTTGGGTGCATGTGCTTGTGCCATATCCTGCTGGTAACCTCCTTTTCCTAGAACTGAAGTTCCCAACCTCAGTTACCCTTTGGAATTACTGGGGTTTTTAAAAACCACCGATTCTTCTAGAGAGCCAGATTGGACTGAGTATAACTTTACCATCAGGAGTTTTGAAAATCCTACCAGTAATCCACAGTGCAGCTGCAGGAGAGAGAGACTGATTTAGACCAATTTCTTTCTTTTTGATCTGTATGTAGTTAAACCCATAAAATAAACAAACCCATTGCCATTGAGTTGATTCTGGCTCATCGTGTCTCTCTGTCCAAGACTGTAATCTCTGTGGAAGTCAACTGCCACATCTTTTTCTTAAGAAGCAGCTGGTGGGGTCAAGCCTTTTGGTTAGCAGCCAAGTGCCTTAATGCTTCTCGTGTAATTAGAAGGCACAGAAGAATGATAGTTTGTCTTATTTTATTAAGTGATTCTGAGTTTCTACATCATTCAAGGTTCTGTGTGGTTTATTGAACATGCAACAAGGTAAAGAAAATAGTACCCGATCTTTTATTGTAGCTATATGTTAGAGTCCATGTTCCATTTCCACTCAGAATTGAAGAAGTGATTAGAATTTGTCTTAATAATTGTTTTAAAACCTTGTTGAAAAAGAGGCAATCTTGCTTGCATGTTTCCACGTTGGCTGACCAGTTTCCACTACATAATTCAGGGTGGTTTTTTTCCTCTCAGGAGCTGGCTGTGACTATTTTACTAGACTAATTATCAAGAACCTGTAGATCAAACACTTTGTTATATATCTTTAATGTATTACATGCTCTTTTCCCTCCCCATATATTAACTCATAAATGGGAACGTAAAGAACAGAAATTTAGTTGGATGCCTGTGTTTTATATGTAGGTAGGAAAAAAGATTATTTTATAAATTGATGAGTGAATACTTCAGGATTACTCCTTTTCTTTTCTATGACTGACAATTTTGGAAGTAAAAAGCATTTTTAACTCCTTAGTTCTTGATCAGGAATAGGGTTTAGGGAAAATAAGTTGAAAGCAATCATTTTAATAAATGCATTTTATTTTTTTAACCTTAGTGAATAAAGCCTGTATAATCCTGGGCAGCATTTGTAATTTGCAAGACCACTTTTCATATCCCCAATACGCTACCTTTCTAACAGCTGTATTGCTGTGTTCTTTTTTAAACAATTTGAACAGGGGGTAGCCTCCCCTGTCAGCATCCGAGACTGTAACTCTTCATCAGAATAGAAAGCCTCATCTTTCTCCCAAGGAGCAGCTGGTGGTTTTGAACTGCTGACCTTGCAGTGAGCAGCCCAACTCATATCCACTACACCACCAGGGCTCTTTTCAATAATTTAGTCAAATTAAAAAGTATTGTGCAATCATTACCACAATCAATTTTAGAACGTTTTCTTCTTTCTTGTACTCACTATTATTAGCACCCACCCCCCACCCCCAACTTTTCCCTGCCTTGCTCCAAAGGCTCTATTAATCCAGTTATTGTGAATTACCCATCCCGGATTTTATCCGCAGGAAAAAAGTTACAAAAACAAAATCAACAACAGTAACAAAACTGTACAAAAAAAACCTCAGTTGAAACGAAAGCAGAAAAAGTTAAAAACCAGAACAAATTTAAAATGAGTCAAAAGGGAGATCAAATGATGTAGTGTCAAATTTTGACTGACTACATCCACAGTAATTCACTTGATAATGCACCCTGTCGGACAGCACGGCTACGAAGCTTTCATAGATTGTGTGTAGCTTGGATTATAACTGAACCCTGATTTTAATGTATCATGTCGGAATTTGGTAAATGCTGAATGACTTCATACTGATGGTATGTTGATCCAATGCACAGGGGAAAGAAGTCTGGAAAAGTGATCTTGAATTCTCTGGAAATGAGATTCTCAGACTGAGATTTGTGTTCCCAGTGGTTTGGGGAGCTTGCTCTCGGGGAGTCTGCTGAGGGAGGGCGAAGGCTGAATTGGGCAGAGGAAGAAGGTCAGCTGCAATTCCCTTGCAACAGCGGCCTTGGAGAGCTCAGCGTGGAGGTGGCTCTTCAGCCCAGTCCTGAACGGAGTGGGCTGGGTGCTTGCAAGGGATAAAGCAATAGCGGAGGCCATTTCCTGGATAGTAGCCCAACCGCAGGCTGCCTGTCAAAAGCTAGCACTCCTAGCAGCTGGGGGAGTGAGTGCACCGACTCCTGACAGGTGGTAGGGGGACCTGGGCAGTGCGCCAATAGTATCTATTGCAGATGTGTAGCTGGCGAATGTGTTGGGAGAAGGAGAGGGGCGAAGAACCACGCTACATAATTTCTCTTGATATATTTAACCTTCCAGAATTATTCTCCCGCTGTTGACTTCAGGACTATGAACCAAGCACATTATACCAGTTTAATAAATGATGAAACAATAGCGGTTTGGAGACAAAAACTCTCAGAACATAACAACGCAAATACAATCAAGTATGTGGCTGCTTGCCTTCATTTAATTTTTCCCCTACGTATATTAGAACTCTAGCTTAGTGAATTTCCCTACTCTTCCTCTTGAAGTTGTGGGTGTACATGGAGGTTCACACTTCAGGGAGTCTTTTTTCAGGCTTTAGTACATTACTCCCAAGTACCATTAGTGGTCCTTTGTTCTCACATTCAAACTCAGATTCTGTTTTCCTAACTGCCTTGTTCACTCAGGTCTTACAAATCCCGACTGGTTAAGGCCTGAGTTGACCTTACTGCCAAGGAGTTCAATGGCATTGTTGTTTAGCCCACTGAATCCCTTCATGATTATTTTCCAAAGCATTCAAATCTCCAGGAGCTGTTGTCTTGACTAATCTGAAGCCTTTCGCTTCCCATTCACAATAATAAATTGAAATAGTAATTCAGAGTTAAGTAGAGAATGAAAAATGTATCAAGAAGGATTGAGCAGTTGAGCCCTTTTATCAAATTTATTTTGCTAAAATGTAATTTTTTTTCCAATTCATTTAAAATATTTTCAATGACTTTCCTCAGCTTTACAGTTTTTCTGCCGAGAATCTAGTTCTTGGGAATGAATCAGTCATGCTCTGTACTAAGCTTTGGTCATTCCCAGAAATGTGCAAAATACAAGGGTAAGTCAAAAAGTAATGCTGTAAAACCACAGACACTTTTATTGAACAAAAATATCAAAATGTGAAGCTATTGTTTCCTGACATATCCTCCACCTAGGTCTATATTCTTCTAAAGGGGATGTTTCCGTCTCCCTAACCCTTCCCTAAAGCATTCTGAGCTTTTTGATTTACACCGTCAGAGCCCTTGTTTAGGTACCCTGAGGGACTCAGATCATGCTCCTTATAATATTATTTGAGTTTGTGGAACAAAAAGAATGTTTAAAGGGACAGGATCAGGGTCATAGGGTAAGTGACATTTCCCAATCAAGTGCTTATAGGGCAACTCTTGCTGCCCTCTAAGAATGAGCATGTGCATTATTGGGATAGAAAAACAAACAAAAATACCTCGATGTAACTTTCTTGACCCTTTTCTCACAAATGCAGTTTTCAGCTTTCTGTAAACCCCTTCATAATAAAGCCCCGTGATCATCCTGTGTGCTTTGAGAAAGTCTATCAAGATTGACCCTTTCTGCCTGGAACTTAACTGGCCCAACAGAGACTCTTGGAAGCCACTATTTTGATCAGATTCTACTTACTCTTGTATCATGTAGGTAAATCCAAGCTGCATCCCTGGTTATGATTTGTTCTGTAAAATCATCTTCATTAACTTCAATATTGCTGAAAAGGCTGATGGAAAGGTGAACTCTTTGAGCAAACTGATCTTTGCTTAATGCTTTTGGTACGTATTAAGCTGAAAGCTTGCTGACATCACCATGTTTGCTTGCTTGGTACCCTTGAAGCTGAGAGCTCTCTGAGACCAAGCTGTTTTCCAGTAGAAAATGTCGAACCACATGAGATCCCCAGTTCACAGCTATTCATCAATGCTATTCTACTGTCTTCTCCCACCAATTTCTTCACTCCAGTCACAGTGTCTGCATTCATCCGAACTGATGGTCTTTCTCTCTTCACTCGTCTTTGGGGTCTTTTTGGCTTTCCTTAAGCCATCTGTTACATCTGAAAACTGTAGTTGTATCTGGGCCAGGATTCTTGGAAACTTGTTTCAAACTTCAAAGCTTTGGGAAGAATTTAACTTGAGTTCTGGTGAAAATTTGATAGTAGCCCTGATCTCACTATAATTTTCCCCCACGACACATAAAGTATCTGTTTTTTGAAGGTACCATAATGGGACTAAGACACGTATATTCCTTAGAGAAATTGCCGGCAGCCATCCACTGATCACAGAGAAATGCTTAAATTATGTTTTGCTTGGAATACACCATGCATCTATGAATTAGAACTCTACTAGCAATGCGTTTTGACTTACCCTGTGCATCTTGCTTTATGGTATAGATCGTCGTGGACAAACGTCCACTAAGTTTTGGCAACATTCAGTAGCAACAAAGTTTTGAGTGAGGGTCAGCCACAAGAGGACTAGTTGTTAGTCAAGAGGGTGAACTCTCCTGGGGACCTTGAGAAATTGCATCAACTTTAGTTCTGTTTTCTTATTTATAAAACAAGGACTGGGAAAAATGATCTTTAGAGATTGCTTCTGCCCCCAGTTATGAGTAACTACAGTCTCTTCCCCAACCGTGTATGTATGCTAATCTTTCCCTTTTCCTTATAGTAAATAAGAGGGCCCAGAGTTCCTGCCATGCAGTTTCTCCCTGGGTGCTTGGAAAGTAGCTATTTCCCCAGAGCCATCATAATCTAAGTGGTAGCAATACGCATGCATTTCATTTCTTTTTAATTTCTCAGGCAAGAAGGAAGTAGTTGTGCAGTTATTGATTTCCACAGTTAATGTCTGTATTTGGGAAACAGCCACTCCAATTCTTATTTGGTTTGGTTGTGTGTACATGTTTGGAGGGAGGTAAAGCAAGGAGCAGCTCAGAGAGCTGGTGGTGGAGGAATGGTCAAGACCACTATTAAGGGCAAGAGTTTCTCTTTCCGTGGCTCTGAGGCCTTTTGTTTTTATACGGCATGTGGCGAACATTACGTTCTCAGCTGTTTCGAGATACGACACAGTGTGTTTTCTCAAGGAAATGTCTGTTTCAGGGCTTCATCTGGTAAGCAGAAGCTGTTGTCAGTGAAACCTAGAGTAGATGGCTACTCTGTTGCTGATGCTCACCTTCGCCGTTCACTGATAATAACTAAAGGTTTCCTTCCCTTTTTATTTCTGAGCAGTGGTGTTGTTCAGATAGTGTCTTCCGCAGCCTGTTGGAATGGAAGTTTTCTTGAAAAAAAGTAAGTAAGTTGGAACCGTGAAGAACAAACATGCTATTAACACTCATTAGCAATGCCTGTGAAAGATCTCTCACCCACTCGATGGTGGTTGGCCTTTCTTCGGTGGATGAGCTGGTGATTTGCCCGATGTGGGAGTGGTTAGTAATGAGGACGGAGAGGACCTCAGCAAGGCTGCGCTGCTTCACGCCAGGCTGGCAGGGGAGCAGACGACCAAAGAGAGAGAGAGAGAGAAAAAAGTTGATGTCATCCGAAGTAAGATTTTTTCCCCCCAGGGCATTCTAAAATGTTACCCCGATTTTAAAATGAACATGTGGAACTTGCCATGGAGAGTATATGAAACATTTTCTCTGCTGATAAGACTTATGAGAAATTCGTTCTTATGTGAAATAGCTTACATCAGTCCCAACATCGCTTGGACCTCTATTTGCAACTTGTATATGTAGTTACCTATACAAAGTAGAGGAGTGTTGAGTGAATTTTAACTAGAAGCAACCTTTCATTTGCCATTAGTAATGTTTTGCTCTTAGTGAACATAGAAAGTCCTTCACCTAATTTTCTTAAAATCATAAGCTGAAAGATCTGATCATCTTCAGTGTTTATTTTGTTTTCTATAAAACATCAACATGTCCCCAGTTGTCTGCAGCAGTGATTCAGCTTGACTCTCTGACATCGACAGGCACTCGGATAAGTGTTGCACAATGAATTGAGCTCCCCAGATGGTCAGTAACTCTCTTGACAACAGCAAGATGACTCCTTCAGTCAGATTTGTACCCAACAACATTGTGAAGCAAAGAAAGAAAACCTCTCAAAAAAGTCTGTGTCAAGAAATTAAAAAAATTCTTCATACCTCGCTTTCTCCCTCAAGGTGCTTTGGTGGCACATTGGGTTGAGCATTAGGCTGCTAACCGAACGGTCGCCGATTGGAACTCACCAGTTGCTCTATAGGAGAAAGGTGAGGCAGTCTGCTTCCCTGCAGACTTACGATGCCTTGGGCACCCTGTGTGGAGTCCCTGTGAGCCTGAGCCCACTCCACGGCAGCCAGTTCGCTTAGAGCTTGGACTCAGCTGCTTGTCTTGGGGACTCCATGTGGTGCAGAGAACTGCTTCCTGGAATCTTCAAGCTATGTCTGTTTTGAAGCAGATCGCCAAGCCTGTCAGTGGGTTCGAACTGCCAATCTGTTCGCTAAAAGTTGAGTGCTCACCATTTGCACCATACATACATGGAGTTGTCAGAATCAACTCCTTGATAACAAACTAGTCATTCATTTCCTCTTAAAACCATGTGCCAATCAACGCTGTTTGAGAGTATATTTTAGGTTGTGTTTGAATAGGTGCTCCTGCTCCTCAAGCCCACAGGCCAGACCCAGTGGGGACCGAGTGGTTTGGGGCTGTCAATGCAACAGTCTGATTCACACAGAATTCCCCAACAGGAGAACCTCTCTGTTCTTCACTTCTGAACCTGGGAAAAGTTGATCGTAGGAAGACTAGAGTTGCTGAAAGGAGACAAAGAACACTGCATGATCTCAGACTCTCCTTGTCATCCTCTCTCCCATCCCCAGTCCCTGTGTCTGGCTTTACCCTATGCCTGTCCAAGGCCCTGTTCCGCTGCCCTCTCTCTTCCCTTTCCCTTTCCTCTGTCTCTCCTTCCTCCATCCTTAACCTCCAGACAGCCCCTCCTCATGCCCCCCATTAGTGAACGTTTACAATTCTGCGGGCACTATTTCCTGGGGCTTCCTTAAAGGTATGATTTTATACATCATATCTGTTGGTTAAAATTCGAATTGGATCAGTGTGGACAAGCTATTTTGTTTACTTCTTTAAAACTCCTAGTGGAGTGTGAGAGGAGCTTGGTAGCAGTGATTAAAGAGCTTGCTTACCCAAAAGGCAAGATTCAAACTCACTGCCTACTCTCTGGGAGAAAGAGGCAGCAATCGGCTTCCATAAAGATTTACAGACTCTGTAGGTTAGTTCTATAAGGAGGCGTCAAAAACTTTGTGGAAAAATAGAATGAAAAGATAATGGAATTTTCCCACGAACATTTGAAGCCCCTGGTACTATGCCCTAGATGGTCCCTATGCCTCAGCTTGAGGGCAGTGGGTTTTTATCAGGATTTGCTTTCTAAGAATTTATTCCATGCTTTGTTTTTATTTGATTGTTTAGAATTGATGGGCATTTTAAAACCAGCCCTAGAGTCCCTGGGATTGACCTGAACTCAACGAGAGTGTTGTTTGAGAAGTTAATGAATTCTCAGCACTCATTGCTTCTAGAACAGGTATGTTCTTTACATTTGCAAAGTGCATTCTGGGAAGCAAAAACAGAACTCCACATTTGGCATTTCAGTAATTCAATTTTCAAGAGAAAAGGGTTGCAAAAACAAAAAGCTTGTAGAAATTAAAAGGGAGAGATTGTGTTTAAATCTGAATGTTGTGGAATCATCACACTGGGAGTTTGATCTACCATTCATTTTCCTTTGGGCTTAAATTTTTTGAAGGAAAAGGCCAGGGGTTTTGCCTTTTCATTACTGTATTCAGAATGCCGAGCTCAGTGCTCTGGCCCGTGGTAGGTTCTCTAGGAATACTTCCTGCGAGTTTGAGAGTCTGAAATTTTTTGTGAATTTAGAGATCATGTTCATCAGGTCTGAGGTACGTTCGAACATCTCAATCTCCTTTTCTCTCATTCAGATCCTAAATAGCTTTGAAAGTTGCCTGATTCCCCAGCTGTCGAGTTCGCCACCGGATGTTGAAGCAATGAGAATCTATTTAATACTACCTGAGTTTCCACTGCTCCAGGATTCCAAGTACTACATCACCTTGACCATTCCTTTGGCGATGGCCATTCTTCGGCTCGATGCAAACCCCAGCAAAGTATTAGGTGAGTGTGCTACCCTCACTACCGACGGGCTTGTGCTCACGGGTTTTGTTGGTGTGTCCAGTGGGCTGGGCTTTAGGTGATGGGGTCCAACAGTCTGTTTGTTACTATGTAATATCATTAACGTGGAAACTTTCCTTGCTTTGCTGTTTATCGCTAGCTAACCGTATTGCAGCTTGAGCAAATCGACCCCTTATTTAAGTTATTTGAAATTATTCTCTTCAGATGACTCTTGATTTTTAAATATCCGCAGTTAGGTTATTTATCTCTTGATTGGTTTTGTTTTCTTTCCTCTCACACGTGCTAGTAATTAGTAGTGACTCAAGAACTTAGTGCCCCTCTGTCTCCTATTCCTCGACTTCATTTAGGGGTGGGAGTGAAATAAACAGCTGTGGTGATACAGAGGTCTCCAGAAAAAGGAGAGGAAGCCGATGACCTAGTGGAGACTTACCAAATGTTTGTTTTGCTTTTCTTTTTTAGGACAGTTGAGTCCACACTGATTTTTGCAGGCTACGGACACTTTGCTGAGATAAGAACCTTCCGTTCCTCAGTGAATTGGAGAGTATCTCTCATGGGAATAGCATCTGAGGTGTTTTTATTAATCAAGCGCAGAAAGTCTGTCAACTGGCTGACTTATTTATTTTTGGCCCGGGTAAATTTTTATTACAACTCAGTAACTTCTGTTTTCCATATGGACTGGGATGTTACTTGAGTGTGGTCTCCCACCAGCAATGAACCTTGTGCAGTTGAGGGTGCAACACGGGCTTTTCCATGGTTGCTTCCACCTTTGCAGAAGATGCCATGACCAGTAATACCGAAAACACTAGTGTTAATTAATGGTAGTTCGTCTGTTTTGTTTTGTGTTTTCTGATCAAAGACTTTTGGGGGAACACCATCCTAGAGTTCTAATAGATTGTGCAGTGGAGAGATGGCAGTCTCTGGGGGAGTTTTATCTGACTTCAGTGGTGGAGTTCTTCCATTTTTATGTTTCCAGGTAGGACGTTGTTCTGTCTGAAGATCAGAAATACTCAGCGTTACACTGAGTTTGTTTCTCAACTTCTTCTGAGAACTCTGAAGGGCGGCTCCAAAGTAGCAGGAACCCTGCATGGATCTCTCCCCCCATTCAGCAGTTATCATCAGCACGTTGTCTGTCCCATTGTCTTTATTCGTCCTGCTCCAGCGCCTGTGCATTGTGCTGGCCTGTTAAAACGGCCATCGCTGATGGCCTGGCACCGCGTCCTGTAAACACTTCAGGATGGCCGGATTACTTCCAATGAAGTAGAAGCCACTGGCATAGTCTTTTTGTCTGGTTATGAGACAACATTGTGTGTAGGAAACAGAAAGAGCAATTTTCCAACTAATTCTACCACTTGGAGAGAAGGCATAGTGGCCAGACTGGCGCTGTTTCTCAGGCGTGCCTTTATTTGCTTCCTTGGGGCAGGATTTTAGTGGCGGCTGAGAACAGAGCTGAAAGGACTGGATATAGTAGTAGATTACAAATTGGTCAGCTGTTCGAAACCACCAGCCACTTTCTGGGAGAAAGATGAGGCTTTCTACTCCCCCAAAGAGTTTCCGTCCTGGGAACCCTCAAGGACAGACCAGTCGGGCCGATGGGGTCACTGTGAGTTGAAACCAACTCAGCGGCAGTGAGTTTTGAGTTTTCTTTAGAGTGACGCTGTGGACATCACTCCTGCCCAAGCACGTGCCCTAGAACCTTGCCCTCACGAAGCCTTGGAATTGACCTTTTCTATTAGTGTTCTCCATGAATTCAAGGGGGTGGGCGGGAAAGTCGGATGAAACTTTTAAAGCACAAACCAAGTTTTACCTACAGAGCTTCTTAGGCATCTGTGCTCTCTCCAGTGCAAGGAGATGGGTTCTTTTGGAAGTTACTTCTGGGAACCGGTATTTTACATCAATGTTCACCTGGTGACTGGCACAGATGTTAGATAGTAGTGAGAAGACAAGCCCTTGCTAAACTATGACATGTTGAAATATGTCCTTTCTTTCTTTCTAAAGATAACTGGTGGTCTCAGGTTTGCCCAAAATATTTCATGAAGCTGGTAAACCTCTATAAAGGCGCAGTCGTTTATCTACTGAGGGGAAGAAAGACTTTCTTAATCCCTGTACTGTTTAACAATTACATGACAGCGGCTCTTCAGCTCTTGGAGAAGTTGCACAAGGTGAGCCCAGCGAGGAGTCAGTGGGCCGAGCTGAGTAGATGGCAGGGGCGATGCGCTGCTCGAGGTCGGAGGGAAGCCGTCTGCCCTGGGCTGGGGTTGAGTGGGCTGCATCTTGTTCTCCCCCAGGTAAATCTGAAAGTGAAGCATGTGGAATATGATGCCTTTTACATTCCTGAGATCTCCAGTCTCGTGGACATTCAGGAAGACTACCTCATGTGGTTCTTACATCAGGCAGGGATGGTAAGAATTCATTGAAAGCATGTCTTTGAACTTTAGTCTTCCCTTAGGGTGAAAAAAGTACATGGGGAGCCTGTCCTATATATGCTTGTTTGTTTTCTTGTAACTATTTTGATTTGGGTGGGAGTTTATAGAATAAGTCAGTTTTTCACTCAGCGATGTGTACACATTGTGTTTTGTGCCGTGGTTTATAATCCCCACAACGTGAGACACTCCCCCCATGACCTCCCTGTGTTTCCTGTCCTGCACGCCCTTCTTCCACAGTCCCGCCCGCCTTCTCAGTGTCGGCCTCTGGATTGCTAATGACTGACTATTCTAAGAAGTCTGTGTCTCCCTCATGGTCGTATTCGATTCATTGACCTGCTTGTTGTTTGTCTAAAAGCTGTGGGGTGAGTTCCGCCTTAAAGGGTAGTGTGCAAAGGCAGGGGGGTCATACCTGACCTCCTCCAGCTTCAGTAGGGAGAAGGAGCTTCCAACGCCACACCAGCCCATGGCCAATTGCCATAAGGTAGAAGTCAGACAGGTCTCCACTCTCCATCCTCTTACTGTATTTTGGTACCAACTATTCCTCTTACAACACTCTGCTTTTCTGCTGGATTTGGTAACCCGGTGCAGTGGCTGCACAGAGCTCGCCGACCACAGTCACAATTTGGGTGTGTATTAGGAAAGTTAACGGGTTACAGGAAGCCAGGGACAGTAAACAGTAAGCATATAGGGGTTTGGTCCATGGAAGCACCTCTCCTCAGCCAGCAGTCAGACTTCTCTCTCAGGTCTTCAGCCACAAGGTCCCTTGGCTTCTGCTTCTGTGAGCCAGGAAGCCCACCTGCTGCTCTCCAGCACTGTCTCCTAGTCAGGTTTCAGGTAAATATGTGCCTCTGCTCTCCCGCAGCCTGGCTCCTTGGGCTCTGCCCCATGGTCTCTATGCCACGGCCACCACCACTCTGAGCAAGGATCTGGACCATGCTTGCCTGGTGGCTCTTCTTCCGGGGTGGTCCCTGAAGTTTTCTCACAATCTTTAAAGACTTTTTGCACGGTTCATGGAATGATCCTGTCAGTGGATCTTTGGTTTTCTTTTTTCCCGGAAGACTGATAGTTGCACCATAGATGGCTGCATGCAAGTTTTTAAATCTCACTTCTTAAAGCTGTTGTTTGGTTTGGTCTGGTTTTTTAAAGTTTGATTGGCATATAACTCACATATTATATAATTGAATTGTTCAAACACATCAAGACGAGTTGTACAGTCATCACCACAATCAGGTTTAGAACATTTCCTTCATTCTGGCAGCTCCCCATTCCCCCCTGGAACTATTAATCCAGTTACTGCCCCCTAAAGAAGATGTTTTATATCCTACTTGATTGAGAATCCAGTGAAGTCTTCCTTACTCGCTGTTCAACCTTCACGTGCAGATGAGGCAATGGACAATACCATGCCTTGGGTCAGGCGCATGTTAGCGCATTGTACCATGTCTGTCGACCTTGAGCCTAGGGTCGTGAGCCCTCAGGTCCAGTGACTCATTCCCCCGAAGTGTTTGGTCATGGGTCAGAAGTTTTCGTAACGTTGGCACTTGTCTGCGCTACTATATTCACGGACATATTTGCAGCACATATAAAGACATGCCTCTGCCAAATTTACATATTCATTTATGTAACCCTAGTCACCTCTCCATACCTGTTCTACATATATCTATGTATCCACTTGTAGGTTATCATAATTTGTTGTTGTTATTGCAGGATTCTGTATATAGTAGTGTTTACCTCTGTGGCTTTAGCTCTCACCCTCCGCCCAGTGTCTTCCCTTGGCCTTGATCTGTTGTGCAGGCCTCCTCCTCATTGCATGTTGACCTCCCCTTCTCCCAAGTTAACCCTAGTCTACCTCGAGTTAGTGATTTATCCTACTTTCCCACCCTCCCTTCATAGCCATCAAGTAATGTTTCCTTTAGTGTGAAAACATTTTCTTGACCTTTTATAATAGTCATCTAATACAATGTTTATCCTTTTGTGATTGACTAAGTTCATTCAGGTTCATCCATGTGTTGAAGAGGTTATGTCAGCAATTCACTGTTGCTCTGTAACATCATGTAGTATGCCATTACGTATATGTACCATCGTTAGTTTCTCTATTCATCCGTTGATGGGCACCTGAGTTATTTCCATCTCTTTGCTATGGTGAATAGTGCTGCGATGAATGTGAGTTTGCACTTATCTATTCCTTTCACAGCTCTGCTGTAGGCTATGTACCTTGTAGTGCGATTGCTAGCTTATAGAGTATATCTATTTCCAACTTTTTAAAGATATACCATAAAGTTTCCTATAGTGTTTGTACAATGATATAGTCCCAGCAGCAGTGTGGGAGAGTTCCAGTCTCTCCACACCCTTGCCAGCATTTACTGTTTGTTTGCTTTAACTTTGTTATCCGTGCTGCAGTGAGAGGACATCTCATTGCTGTGTTGCTTTGCATCTCTCTAATGGATAATGATCGGGAGTGTTTATTCATGTTTGTTCCCTGCCCGAATGCCATCTTTGGTGAAGTGTCTGTTTATGTTCTCAGCCTATTTTCAAGTTGGATTGTTTTCCCCAGTGTGTAAATTCTATTTTTAGTCATTTGGTGAAATCTTTTGATACACAGAAATGTCTAATATTTAGGAGGTCTTAATCGTATAGTTTGCCCTCCAGTTTGTGTTTTCAATTGTGGCTGATTCCATGCTTTCGCCTCCTGCATTTCTATCGAGTTTGTCTTTAATTGTCTTTCTAGTTTTGGGTTTTACTTTTCAGTCTTAGAGCTGTCTTGAGCCCAGTTAGTGCATGGTGAGAGCTATGGATTCACTTTCATTTTTCTTTAGTGGATATCCCCTTTTGCCCAGGACCACTTGTTAAAGAGACTGTCTCTTACCTGTGTAAAGTGTCCTGGCCCTTTGTCAAAGCTGCCCATAGATGGGTGGATTTATTTTGGGTTCTCAGTTCTGTTCCATTTGTCTAGATGCCTGTCGTTATACTAGTACCAGGCTACTTTGACTGGATAGTAGGTTTTGATAATGGATAAATGTAGGGCCTCCTACTCGGTTCCTCTTCTTTGAGAGTGCTTAGTTTATCCAGGCCTCTTTCCTTCCCGTATAAAGTTGGTGGTTAGTTTTTCCGTTTCTTTAACGAGTGATGCTATCATCTGGGTTGAGATGGCCATGTATTTGTTTATCTCTTTAGGTTGTAGGGACATTTTCACAATGTTAAATCTTCCTGTCCATCAGCATGGTATATTATCCCCTTTACTTAGGTCTTGCTTATAGTAAGTAGTACTTCTTGTAGTAATACTTTTTCTTTGTATAGATCTACTGTATCTGTGTATTTATTTTTAAATATTTTATCTTTTCAGTAGTTATTGCAAATGGTATTGTTTCTGATTTCTCTCTCCGAGTTGATTTTGTTAGTGTAGAGGATCCAACTGATTTTTTTAATGTTGCTTTTGCACACTGACACTTGGATGAATGCTTCTAATAAGGTCTAGAATATTCTTCTGAGTCTGGGAATTTCTGTGTATAGGATCATAGCATCTGCATGTGGAGAGTTGTACTACTTTGCCAATTTGGATGTCTTTTATTCCCTTTTCTTGCCTTATTGCTCTGGCTAGAACTTCCAGGACAGTATTGAAAGGGTGTCTTGTATGTTCACATTTGGAGGCTGAATGCCTTCAGTCTCTGTTGAAAATTATGTTGGCCATTGGTTTCGTGTGTATGCCCTTAATTATGTAGAGGAACTTCTCTATTCCTATTTTGCTGAGCGTTCTAATGAGGAATGGATGTTGGATTTTGTCAAATGCCTTTTCTCCATCCATTTGTCTTTTACTTTGCTGTTAATGTCCCACCTGAGTTTTATTCAGGTAGCTTTTTTGCATTCTTAAACTGAAAAGTTTTTATGTAAACAAGCAGTCATAGCAGAATGTTACACATTTCAGTCAGTTGCCCACATTTAAAAATAAAGACATCATGTTAAAAAAAATGGATTTGCAACCTTTCTTGAAATTTGGAAGATCTGACCACACTGGGCTTATCTCCATAGATGACACAAATTGGCTGGAGTTCAGTAGTGACTCTTTCATGAGGCTGGTGTCAGCCACAATGCCCACTACCGCTCCATTTGTTGATGACATCCAGGAAATGATCATTTGCTAATCACTTTCTTCTCTGGCGATTTCAGTCGGCTGTGTCAGCTGCCTGGTCTGTGGAGGCCACCACCAAATTCGGATCCAGCACCTGGGAAACATATCCCAGGCCTGGTTCTTTAATGTGTCGGGTGTATAAGGGCGTGTAGATTCCTTTGGGCCCTGATACCCTGGCCTTGGCAGGAGCTATCTGTTCACTTTGACTGCAGACCGGCTTGAAATATGCCAGGTTCTGTAGGAACTTCCATCTGTGCAGTGTGTGTAAATTTGAGTTATGTCAGAAAACTGAATGATAAATTGGCTACTGTATTTAGTGAAGCCCTGTGCAGCAGACACACTGAAGTGTGTCCTTGCCAGTTTAGCCGGTCTATCTCCAACATGACGGCTGTGTTTTCCAGTAGGGTGTTTGGATTAGCAAGGTATTTTAAACAGGTTTCTTTAACTAAGTAAGCAAGTCATACTTATTCTTTGTCAAATAACTGATGACCAAGGCTAGACCCAATGAGCCTTAGAGGTACAGTAGTGTGCTTTGGGCCGCTAAATGCAAAACCACCAGCTGCTCCTCAGGAGAAAGACGAGGCCTTCCTTTCCCTGGAAGAGGTACCGTCTGGGCCACCATCATGGGCAAGTCGACTCTGCCCCAAAGCGCCTCTAGGCGTCGGAACCGACACAGCATTGTATACTTTAATAAAACTTCATAATTGCCTTGAATAAACAAAATGCTTGCATATAAGAAGGAATCCAGAGGTTTCCACATAGGTTGACATAAGAAAATAAGCATATAAGCGAGCAGTGAACTCTGACTTTACTGGCTAATTTCAAAATTGAGAAAAGATACGCCCTTTGCTTTATCAATTCATAATTGATTATTCATTGAATAATAAAATATTAGAGTTTAACGGTTACTCATTAATTACTCAGGCTAACTGCTTCATTTCTAGGTGAACAAATGAAGGCCCAGAGAAGTTAAATAAACTTTCCACCAATTCAACTAGCCATTATCAAAGCAAGTTCTTTTGGCTTCTAGTTTACTCTCTTTGACATGGTATGCTGAGTAAAGTAATTCTCAAGAACCCTAACTCTTTTTGACCCTGAGAAAGAAGTTGTTTGTGTTAAAATCTAGGTTACCATGACTGTGGGCTCTAATTTGATGTGCTTAAGTGAATAACTTTTACAATTTTGCTATAGCACCTGTCTTTGACAACTTGATAAAGCAAATATAGAGACTGTGTTCTCTTCAATAATTCAGTATTTAAGGCAGCAATTCCTGAAAGGTAGAAAAATAGGGGAAATTACTGAGTCAGTTTTTGTGATCTCTGTAGAATATGTTCTACTGTGTAAGGGCCAATGCTTTTAGAAATTGAAGTTTAAATTTCTTGTTATCTTGAATTTGAACTTAAAATGCTTAGCCATTTGCTACGTAAATGTATGCTTATTGTAGCCACTTTCAAATGGTAATAAGGAACTCAAGGAGCCCAGTGGTGCAGTGGTTAAACACGTGGCCGCTAACCAAGAAGTCAGCAGTTTTAATGCACCAGCAGCTCCAAAGGACAAAAAACTGGGCCACCTGTTCCTGTGACTCCTTTAACCGAGGACACCCACTGGGGCAGTTTAACTCTGTTCTACAGAACAGGGCCACGATAAGTAGTATGTTCTTCTTGTTACTAGGCCCTGTGCCCAATAGAACAAAACACCCCCTGGTTCCTTTCAGCCTCACTCACATTGTTGCAGCTACTGTGTCAATCCATCTTGTTGATTATCTTCCTCATTTTCACGCCCCCTCTACCAAATATGATGTTCTTCCCTAAAGACTGCGCTCTCTGGATAGCCAGTTAAAATTCATGAAATGAAATTTCTCCATCCTTGCTTACAAGGAGCATCCAGGCTATACTTATTCCAAGGTAGATTTGTTTGTCCTCTTGACAGTCCATAGTGTTTTCAGTAGTCTTCACCGGCTCTGGAATTCACATGCTTCAACTGTTCTTCAGTCTTCCTGATTCAGTGTCCAACTTTCACATGCATATTGGGCTATTGAAAAAGTACCCGGGCTTGGGTCAGTCCTCAAAGTAACATCCTTACTTTTCAACACTTTGAAACCTTTTTTCTTGTTCTCATTATTACTGGCTCAAGACTGTAACTCTTTACAGGAGTAGAAGCCTCATCTGTTTCCCTGGTGAGCCACTGATTGTTTTGAACTGTTGACCTTGTATTGCAATTGCATTGCAAGTAGAAGCCCAACACTTAACCACTACACGACCAGGGCTCCTGTATAATCTCACTTATATGAAACAGCTAAAATAGATTTTTTTAAAAACCCTTGAGTCAGAACTGGGCTACAAATTGAGTTGCTAAACCACCAGGTCAGCAATCCTAACCCACCGATGGTTTCTTGGGAGAAAGATGAGGCTATCTGTCCATTCCTGCAAAGATTTGCATCTCAGACCCCTGCAGGGCCAGTTCCACTCTGTCCTGTCGGTCACTGTGTGTCAGTATCCACTTGATGGCAGTGGTTTTTGGTGAGAGGCTAAGAGGAGGGAAATGAGGAGTTCCTGCTGAAAGGGTGCTTATGAACTTAGTTTCTGTTTGAGGTGATGAACAACATTTGGAATGGGTGGTGGTAATGGCAATACAAGTGAATATTACCAATGCGCTGAATTGTACACTTAAAATGGTTAAACTGGTAAAATTTTGGGTATACTCTACCACCAGAGTACATACATATTTTTAACTTATTTCTAGATGTATTTATAATGGAGGAAGCGTCTTCTTGAGGCCTAGCACGTGTCTTGCCGCTGAGTCAGGAATAACTCACCAGATAAATGTACTTCTTAAGAGCACTTGAAATGCTATGTGAATATTAGGCTACTACTTAAGAAGAACAACCTCTGTGTGTATGGAGGACGGTATCATATGCCAACAAACAGGATGCAATTTGCATTGTCTATAATCCTTAACAAAATTAACTTCTGAGTGAAGTTGTAAAGGCTCCTGTTTGGCCTTAGATTCCTTATAAAAATAATTCTAGTGATTCTATTAATTATAGAGAGTTTATGAAAATGACCTTTTTACAATTGATTTTGCCATTTTTCTCAGTTTTGTCCACCAAAACATCTGGTCTATCCAGTCCGCTTTTCCAATATGGTTAGTTCTATGGTAAAATAGATAGACTGTATGTTATTATTTGATGTTACATTTGTAGCAAGCATGAATCTCAGGTTTTTAAATCCAAATAACTGACTTTTTATTTATCTTTACACAGAAGGCTAGACCATCTATAATACAGGTAAATGATCTTTTAAAATTTTATATGTGCACACACACACACACACACACACACACATAATTCCAGCAGTTATTCTTCGGGGAATACTAAAGTCTTGCTAATGACATGTTTTATTCTAGGATGCTGTAACACTTTGTTCCTACCCCTTTGTCTTCGATGCCCAAGCAAAGACCAAAATGTTACAGACTGATGCTGAACTACAGATGCAGGTATCCTTCGTTAAAAATGGTGTTTTTATCATCAGTGTTTTTCTCAGACCTTCAGCTCTCATTTTTTTCCCGATAGGAGAAAGTGTTTTGGATCAAATTCCATCATGACTCTTAGAACTATTCTAATTTTCTTCAGTAATTTCATGTTAAATATAACACCTAGATAACTGTGCATTCATGAAAATTGGGCGTTGGTGAGCTTTCTCTACAAAGGACCAGATAGTAGATAATTTAAAGCTTTGTAGTCTCTGTTATAATTGCTCTAGCATAAAAGCCCCCATAGATAATGTGTACATGACTGAGTATGGCTATGCTCACCAAGTTTATTAAAATTCATGTACGCTGAATGTGAATATAATCCTCACATGCCTTGAAGTATTTTTTCTTTTTCTCTTAAATAAAACACCATTGTTAGCACAAGAAGCTGTATAAAAGCAGGTACTGGCATAATTTAACGACAAAGCGAGCTGTCTATCCTTGATGTAGAGAAGGAGGGCTAATTAAATAGAGCTTTTACATCTCTATTGAACAAAGGAAAAAGTTTACAGAGATTGATTAATATTTTAAATATGTATTGTTATTATAAAATGGAATTGATTTTGACAAGCTTTCACAAAGCAGGGGTAGATTAGCAACCCAAACCCACCGATTCATACCCTTGGCAGATACATGCCATCCATTCATTTCTCTCTTCACTACTCTCTCAGTCTCCATCTAGTTTTCTTTATCTCCATCTAGCTGTACATAAAAGTTCACAGTAAAATGGAATGAAAGGATAATGGAATTTCTCCACAAACTTTTTGAAGCTCCACAGTGTACCTGTTTTCACAGTCATGTATTCATGATACTGACCATGTAGACGTTTTCCAGAGAAGACTGACCGTGTTCAAGGAATAAAAACCCTCTAACCTGTGGTTATTCGGTTTCTTTCCCTTCCGCTGTGAAAGTCACCTTTCTTGCAGTACGATTTCAATTGTAGTGACTTTTCTGAAACTGGATCCTGTGGCCCAAAGTCAATGTATTTTGCGTCAGTCGGTCTGTATGCTTGTAAAGAGGAGCACCTGAGACGCTCGGCTGTGAACGCTAGGGTGGGAGGGATAGCGGAATGCAGGTGCCGCCAGCCTCTGAGGTGCAAAGGCACAGCCTGCTGCTTTCCAGGGTGCACACGGAGTCATTGCTTCCTGGGGTGTCCTTCCAGGTGGCCGTTAATGGTGCGAACCTGCAGAATGTCTTCATGCTGCTCACCCTGGAGCCTCTGCTGGCCAGAAGCCCCTTCCTGGTCCTTCACGTCCGCAGGAACCACCTCGTGGGAGACGCCCTGAGAGAGCTGAGCATCCACTCCGACATCGATTTGAAAAAACCTCTCAAAGTGAGCCCTGGCAGCGCGTACCCCTGCCTCTTCCTAGTCTTCTTTCAACAGTGTCGATGAAGTCACAAAGCTCTTTTCTGTAATGAGAGAGTGCAGCCCAGAGTGACTGAAAATGGCCTCTGCTCCCAAGACCACCTTGTATGTTTATGTTCAAGAATTGTCTATTATCGGGGCTTAGCACAGGACTTAGTACCGAGTAAATGCTTAACAAAAAAGTAGTGAATGATGAAGGGGCTTTAAAAAGTTCAGAGAAATATGGAATTAAAAGGCAATGGGAATTTTCTGAAGCCTTTCCATTAAACGTCTTTGAAGCCATTCATCTTTTCCTTCAACTTCCATATCTCTATTTCCAGTTCTGTGGTAATCTCCACTTTCACAAGCGTACTAAGCCCCTACCTAAACGGATCTCTGCAATATTAGCAACCCTTTCCAAAGTCTCTTCACTCCCTGCATCAGACCACCATTAACCTGCCTGGGAGTCCTCGTGCTCGTGCCCCTGTTCTCAGGCAGTACGTAAGTTCGTCTTTAGGGCCTTGTTGGACGTGAGTTTTCTGGCAGCGCTATTGCTGTTCGGTGCTGTCAGGAGGTTCCTCCTCACGGTGGCTTCACGTACAACAAAATGAAGCATGGCCCAGTCCCACGCAGTCCTCACCACCGGTGCGCTGTTTGAGACCACTCGGTCAGTCCGTCGTGCTGAGGTTCTTCCTCTGATCTGTGGACCCCTGCTTTACCGAGCAGCGTGCCTTGTTCCTATAACGTGTTCACTCTTCTGACAGCCGTGTTCTGGTCAGTTCAACGCTTTTCTTCAGCCCGTCAGTGCTGCTTGGGTCCCTCTTCCTCCCGGTCCGGCTTTCACGTGCGCACGAGGTGACTGGAAACCCCCTGGCTTAGGTCTGCACACTGTAGTATTCAAAGCGACAGCTTTGCTCTTTAGCAGTGTAAGAGGCATGTCGCAGCAGACTTGCCCAGTGCAATTTGAATTGCTTAATTGTTGACTGTTGCTCCCATGAGTGTTGGTTCCGGATTCGCCTAAAATGAAATCCTTTATAACTTCAAACTTTAAATAGTTTCTTTGTTTATCACGACATTGTCTATTGGTCCAGTTATGAAGATTTTAATTTTTTTAAATCATTTTATTAGGGGCTCTTACAGTTCTTATAACAATCCATACATCAATTGTATCAAGCACTTTTGTACCTATGTTGACATCATCATTTCCAAAACATTTTCTTTCTACTTGAGCCCTTGGTATCAGCTCCTCATTTTTTTCTTCCCTTGACTACCCTCCCACCCTCATGAACCCTTGATAATTTATAAATTATTATTATGTTCCTGTCTTACACCAACCGCTGTCGCCCTTCACCCAAAGTTCTGTTCATTCCCTGGGGGATGGTGGGGGTGTACATCGATCATTGCGATTGAAAGCTGTAGTCTTTGTTGTTCATCAGTAAATGCTTCAAGTTTGCTTAGCTGTCAGTAAGGTTGTGTCATCTGCATATCTCAGGCTATTACTGAGCCTTCTTGCATTACCAATACTGAGTTCTTCATATAATCCAGTTTTTAAAAATTATTTGCTCAGCATATGGATTAAGTAAGTATGATAAAAGGATACTACCGTGACATACATTTTAACATTTCTGTTCAAAAGGCTGCTTCTAAGTTCTACAGGAGCCCAGTTAAGTGCTCTGAAATGCCCATTGTTTTTGATGTTGTTTATAATTAAATGCCTTTGCATAGTCAATCAATTTTTTTAAAAAGTGAACATTTTCCTGACGGACTCTGCTTTTACCAAGATCTCATCTGCTATCAGCAATGCTCTTTCTCAGTCCACATAGTCTTCCGAATCTGGCTTGGATTTCTGGCTGATCCCTGACAATGTTCTGCAGCAACTGTATTTGATCTTCAGCAAAAATTTATTTACATGTGATATTAATGCTGTGGTTTGATAATTTCTGCATTTTATTGGATAACCATTCTTTGCAATTTGGACCTCTCCCATTCAATTAGCCAGGTAAGATCTCTTCAAAATTTCTTGGCATAGGTGAGTGAATGCTTCCAGTGCTTTATCAGTTTATTAAAATATTTCACTTGGTATTCTGTTGATTGCTCAAGGGCTGGCTTGTTTGTTGGTAATGCTTTGATTGCAACTAGGACTTTGTCCTTCAATACCACAGCTCTTGATCACATGCCGCCTCTTGAAATGGTTTAGCATTGGCCAAGTCTTTTTGGCACAATGACTGTATATTCCTTCCATCTTCTTCTGATGCCTCCTGCGTCATTCACTATCTTGCCCATAGAGTCTGCATGCAACTTGGGGCTTGGATTTTTTCCATTCGCCCTGACTGACAAATGCTGTGTGCGTGCTTCTATTTTGTTTTCTAGCTCTAGGTCTGTGCACATTTCATTGTAATACTTTGTCTCCTTGAGGTGCCATTTGGAATTTTCTGTTCAGCTCTTTTATGTCACTATTTCTTCCCAGCACTTTAACTTCTTCATATTCAAGAGCATGTTTCATTGTCATTGCTGATCATTTCTTTCCTGTCTTTTTAGTGATTGGGGGCTTGCTTTCTTGATATCATCCCACAACGTGTCTCCTCTTTGGTCATTAGTGTTCATTCCCTCAAATCTATTCTTTGAGATTTTCCTGAAGTTGATATAGGTTATTCTCAAGCACATATATCGACTCTCCTGGATTTGTTTTAGTTTTCTTCAACTTCAACCAAAATTTACATGTGAGCCATTCCTGTGTGTCCCATCGTGGGCCCCAGCCTTGTTTTGGCCGATGATGCTGAGCTGCTTGCCGATGGAGCCCATTTCATGTATGCCGTCTGGGGAGGTACACGTAGATAAATGATGCTTATGCCATTTTAAAAAGGTGTCTGTAGTGAAGAAGGCATTTGTCTTATGGGTGCTTAGAATACGCTGCTGTGTCAGTGAAGGTTAAAAAAGAGTAAGGAATATCAATTGGTGATTTCCGCATCAGGCAGCTCCCCAGCCATCTGCCTTAGACAGAACTCTGATTACAAGTGTCATTTTAACAAGTGGTTAGCTGTACTGAACAAAACATGAAGTATTGGTTCTTCTGGATTGATGAGAAGTGGCTGAGACACCATTGTTGGAGTCAGGTACATGTTTGCCTTCAGAGTGACACCTTTTCACCACTGCACGTCCAGTGCAGTATATTGCATGGCTTTTGGACTGCCTCTTCCATGGCCATTGATTGTGCATCTTGGCAAAATGAAATCCTTGACAGCTTCTATAGTTATGTAAACATTAAAAACTCCATATAGATTTCCACAAAGTATTGATCCTATTTTTATTTTTACAAGGTAATCTTCGATGGGGAAGAAGCAGTGGATGCAGGTGGTGTAACAAAGGAGTTCTTTCTTTTGCTATTAAAAGAACTTTTGAATCCCATCTATGGAATGTTTACCTACTACCAGGACTCAAATCTCTTATGGTTTTCAGATACGGTAAGTTATTGATGCCACATTTAAACACATGGATTTTTGTTGTCAGATCAATCCTTTGACTTTTCAAACAGAAGGCTAGCAAATGTCTAATTTTGAAATGTCTTTAAAATGTCCAATACTCTCTCCAGTCTGTGCTTTTTGCGTGTTACTAAGACCTCAGTGCATTTTGGCAGTTTGCAATCCTACATTTGGGGATCCAGGTCTTACTATGTGTGAAAGGGTTAAAAAAAAAAAAAAGAAGAGACAACAATTTTTATGATATGTGAAGGATTAATAGTCAAATGCCATATTTTAATAACAGGAATGTATGCACACATATACATACTTTATTTATGAAAATTCAATTGTAAAGCTAAGCTATTAAAGGCATTCTAATTTCAATAATTATAATTTAGTTCTTTTTCTATTAGTTTCTTTCCCCTAAACCTGCACCTTCCCAGAGAGTAGCGACTAGTCACATGTAGCTATTTAAACTCATATTCATTGTAACTAAATATGAAATGTTTATTTCCCTCAGTCATACTAGCTGCATTTCAAATGCTCAGCAGGCACACGAAGCTAGGACAGCACGGAATCAAATCCTCTAGATAATTACAAGCTATTGTTTGTCCCGTGGGATGAAGTGTAAATGCTAAACTTTGTCTACATTGCATCTTTTGAGGGTAATTGAACATTTACAATATATTGAGGCAAATGGCATGCTTTGAAGGCATAGAACACTGTTTGTTTGTTTTTAATACAACTGCATGCATTCTAAAGTGTTTTGTAGAGCACAACTGGTTTCACTTGATTGGCATAATCTGTGGACTAGCTATCTACAACTCCACCGTGGTTGATCTCCACTTCCCATTGGCTCTCTACAAGAAGTTACTGAATGTAAAGCCCGGTTTGGAAGACTTAAAGGAACTGTCCCCCACTGAAGGAAGGTACAGTGCTAAAAGATAGAACCACCATGATCTCCTGCAGTCATTTAATTAGTGAAGCCTTGTGCACTTTTCAAGCGTCTGTGAGCTCACATTGACAAGGCAACTCACATTGCCGTGGTTGGATGGGAAGGTTAGCCAGTGGGGAGTTTGAGATTATGGGGTGGAATAATGGTGGAAAGAATGGTTGCAAAACTTGAATGTAACCAATGTCATTGGATTTTATATGTAGAATTTGTTGGAATTGAAAATAAATACCTAGAGAGTGATCATTGCTGCTCCGTAATGTGTAACAAGTTCTGCTTTCAGTATCCTGAGCAAAAACAATACGAACTTTACTACTAACCTTGGTCCTCCAAAGATGCATGAAGAAAGGATATGGAAAAGGGAGCCATGTTCCTTTTTTAACAGCTTTCTTGAGATATAATTCACATACCATATAACTGACCCCTCCACTGTATGACTCAGTGGCCTTAGTGTATTTGCACATTATCCCACGCAGTCATCACTAGGGTCAGTTTTAGCACGTCCTCATCATTCCTAACGTAAACCCTTTGCCCTCCACTCACTGCCCTAGGACTAGGAAACAGCTCATCTGCTTTCTCTCTCTCTGTTTACCTATTTGTGGCATTTCATGTCAATGGAATGAAACCCTATGTGGTTCTTTTTGAGGGGCTACTTTCACCCAGCATGACATTCTCAAGGTCCCTCTGTGCTGTCCCACAGGTCAGCACTTGGTGTCCTTTGTTGTGTTAGTGTATGGGAAGACCACATGATTGCCTTTCTCCTTTCTTCAGCTGCGGGCCCTTGGGTAGTGTGGCTGTTCTTAGCAATGCTGCTATGAACATTTGTGCGGGCATGATTGTTTATTTGTTTTGGAAATACATAGGAGTGGAATTGGGTCTTCTAGCCACTGTGTCTCACCATTTGAGGAACAGCGGGACCATTTTGCAAAGCAGTGGAGCCATGTTTCTGTTAAGTCTTTCTGGCTCTGAAAATCTGTTTATCCTTGAGTTTCTGTATATTGAACATAAGAAGTATTAGATCAGGTATTTAAAAAGAAACCATGCCCTTGGCTTTCAAAATGAGAGCACTGCCCCTTCTTGTGTATAAAACGGTACTAATATTAACATTGAGTAAATGAGGGCTTGTCTTGAAAGTACTTCCAGAAATGAGACAGTCATACCTCCAATAAGGGATGCCAGTACTGAGAAACCACAAAGACTGGCAAAGACGTGGGCAGGCCCAGAGAAAAGAGCGAAGGTAGGAGGAATGTAAATCTCATAGAGGGGACCCTGGCTCGGATAACTTGAAGGGTGGATAACGACAGCTGTCTGTGATATGTACTTTGCCTGCCTGGCCAGGAATTTTGTATTTTAACTAGTATTTTTAGATGGTTAACTGATAGGACATTTAAAGTTTACCCTAGGAATTTCTTTCTGGGCAATTCTCCATGGATCTGCAGTCCTCAGCTGACAGTGTGACTAAAGGAGTGTATGCTCTTCAGAGCTAGGGTGTGGTCGTTCTTGGCACCAACGAAGTCTTCTTCCAAGAGCAAACATTGCATTGTTCTGTAACGTCACAGAGAGACTCACCATACAGGGCCCTTTTCATTATAAAGTCTGACCTTAAGATTCCTACATGGAGGAGGTGACTCTGTAGCTTTTCTATGATGGAACAACTATTCCATGAATGCATATAGATAAAGCCAGTATTATAGGGTCATGGTCATGCCATCTACTTCTGAGCAATACCAAGATTAAGAGAACACAAGCATCCAAATATAAGTCCATCAGTGAGTTTTTATGAATCAAATAGCATCTGTAAGTAAAAAGGGGACACGTCACAAATGCCTGACATGTCTACTGCCAGCAGTCTATTCAGTGTGGGGGGATGCTTTTTTCTCTTCGGTCGGTCTGATGTGACTGAGGGAGAACTCGCCTGCAATGTCTGATTGGCTCTTCTGCTTTCTTGGTTCTTCTGGGGCTAGGAGTCTTCAAGAGCTTTTAGATTACCCTGGGGACGATGTCGAGGAGACTTTCTGCCTCAACTTCACGGTAAGGAGTGCCAGTTTACTCAGTAGCTTCGTGCTCCTACGCCATGGGGTGCATTAGTTCCTTTCCAAATTACAGAACAAATTCAAGGACCTCTCTGAATGAAAATTATATTATTATTCTTCCTATAACACTCAGTGTCTTGAGTGTTATTGGAATTTTTTAATGTGTGTTGAGTGGATAAATGTATGCTTAATCTAATTATTTACGAAAATTACTGAAATATCAATTCTCTGTACATCCATCACATGTGAGATGTTTCTCATCGGAGTCTTCCCTTCCTGGTGGCGTTTTCTGGCAGCTCCCTGCCTTAAAGCCAACGCTGTCCTTTTTGGTGCAAGTGTTTTCTCACTCAGGACCTCTCTTAGCCAAAGAATTTTCTGTGTTAATAAACAATCCTAAGCTACATGTGTTCCTAATTCTGCTTTCATTCAGCTGAAGCACAAGTGATAACATAAATATGTTTCCTTTTTCTCCTTAAATGCAGATCTGTCGAGAAAGCTATGGAATCATTGAACAGAAGAAATTGATACCTGGGGGAGAAAAAGTGAACGTATGTAAGGATAACAGGTCAGTCTGGATTTTGGGGGCACCGGCGCTTTGCTGCTTTGCAGTTGTATTTTTCAGAGCAAGGTTGAAGTCGCGTCTTAATCTCATGTGTAGAGGACACATGGAAGGCATGAGTAGCAATGTGCAGATTTTAATGAGCTTATGGGAGAGCACGCACTGGACCAGGATTGAGCAGATGATTGTTTTAGTGGTAGATCACATCTAACTGGCTTTGATACTGCAGCTATCTTGTAAACGGTTTGATCTCCGTTTTCTGGAATTAGTAATAGTTGTATGACTGTTAGGCACACAACTTAGTCACAGACTGAATCACACGGTCTACCTGAGTCTCTGGAGAAGGACATCCTGTTTCATGAAGTATCAGGGGCAGTGAAAAAGAGGAAGACGTTCGACAAGATTGATTGCCACGGTGGCTGCATCGATGGGCTCGGACGTAAGGACGATGGTGAGGACTGGACAGGGTGATGGCTCTTTCTGTTGTACGGGGGGTTACTCTGGGCTGGAACAACTTGATAGCATTAAGTACATCTACCTTGTGGGGTGGTTTGGAGAAGTAAGTGAGATAATCTCTAGGGAGCCCTTCTGAAGTAAATAGACCCTAGCACCTAACAAGAGTGCCTAGCATCTACAAGAATGCCTGACACCAAAGTGAACAATTATATATAATAAATGTTAGAAAGATGCTTATAACTATTAATGTTTTATTACAAGAGAATACTTAACTTATTCTCTCTGCTACTTGGAAATTCAAACACATCTCATTTTTCAGGACATTCAAGTACTTGTGTTATCCTTTTGGAGGAGAGAGAAAATATTCAGGGTTTATTAATGTTTTATTAAATGACAAGTGAGATTACTGGTAATGTGATATTAATTCATGTACAAACACCGCATGCCTACTGTGTGCTGGGTATAGGAGGGGATCAAGACCTATCCCTGAGCAGCTCAAGGTGAAATGGGATGTGCCTTGTAAGGGAATGATTGCAACCGACCAGTGTTCCCAGGGTGGTATATACTGCCCCCTTGGGGCACTGGAATGATCCAGAAGGGGTTGCAAAAGCAGAATCCGGTACCTATACTTATCATGGATCATGGGTTATAGTACACAAATTATAATTGCTGGTGTGGGGTGGACACAGAGGTTTTTTGTTTTTGTTTTTCCTGAAAGGGGGGCAGTAAGCTGAATAAGTTTGGGAACGAATGCAATAGATGATGGTTAGCATGAGTGGGTTATAAGCCAGGCATCGTGGAACCAGGGGAAAGCCTTGGACCCATTTACTGAACCCTGAGACTGCAAATGGAGGAAAAACATTTTAGACACACAGACACACAAAGAATGACAAGTCTTGTAGTGTGGGGTTTGTGTATGGATGGTGATTATGTTTCGTAGCATTAGAGCAGGGCTTGTTAAGACCTTAAATGGGGACATGATTGATTTTTATTTTAGAAATATAATTCTGGTGCGATACAAAAATAGACTTACCAACAGGAAGCTCCATTGAGATACTAAGGTACAGAGTCTCCATGTTTATAGTTGGGTGATGTAAGAGAGGCTTGTAGAAACTGGGGTTTCTATTCTGAATGACTGATAGAAAGGTAACAGACTGTAGAGCAGATATGAAGGAAAAGGCATTCCGTTTTGGGTGTGTTGACTGGAAGTGTCTGTGGGTTCTTGTGTTTGGAGTTAGGAATTTACCTGCATCTCAAGAGAAGAGGCTTTATTTGAATATTTTATTTACCTTTTTAATTTATATAGCCTCCATCCCTTCTTAGAAGAGATGTATAAATTGGGATAAAAGGTAGACTCTTGAGATGGAGATTTGGAGATGATTAGCATGTAGACTAGATATACTGGATGATGGAAAGATTCTGAGAAAGGGAAGCATTTACAAGGTTAAATGAAAAACTGGACTCGCTGCTATGGAGTCAATTCTGAATGATAACGACCCTATAAGACAAAGCAGAAGTGCCTCTGTGAGGTGCTGAGACTGTAACTCTTCATGGGAGTTGAAAGCCCCATCTTTCTCCTGGGGAGTGGCCAGTGGTTTTGAACTGCTGACCTTGTGGTTAGCAGCCCAGCACGTATGCCACTATGCCAAGGTTTAATTTAGTATACAAAAAGTCACAGATAAGGATAATGTGGGTGCTATTTGTAAACGTGTTGGGAAATTGACTAAGACTGATCGACGTAGTTTCCATTGGATTGCTCTGGCAAACAGAGGATGCAGACAGATCCTACAAGACATTCCTTCTGTCTGAGGCATCAGCGTTGGCCTACTTTTCTAGGTTTGTTTGTTTTAATTATTAAGGCTATGATAACTCTCAGACCTCTTCTTCCATCTCTTAACGTCTTTAAAGACGGCTAGATGCCCCTGTGGTCTAATGGAATATTCAGTAAGTTCCTGACATGCACATCAACTAGACTCTTCAGCAAACTATTTGCTTCCCAAACTACAGGCTTGGGAACAGTGTGAGCTACAGTACCAGCATTAAGTGAAATGTTGCAGAAGCTGCTGATCTAAGATTAAAGACTTAAGAGGATGACATAGTAGCGACTCTAGGAACTTAATGTAGTGGCTACTTTGTTTCAAGTAAATGTCGCACTCAAAACCCGTACTTGACAAGATCACTTGGAGGAAGAAGCAATTTCCTTTCTTTATCTAGACAACATTGGTACTTTTGCTAACAGCAAATGGCTTTTTTTCTTCTTCAGGAATACATGTACCTATTAGCTTATAATTCCATACAGTTGGAAAATGTCTTTAGTATTGGAACATTTACAACAGATCATAAAGTAGATTAATTGACCCAGATTGCTTCTCGTCCCTTCTAGCTTAAGTGGTCCCTTTATAGCTTGTATGTATGCATATCAATATGTATTTAATTGTTAGTCTTTCCTTTCAAAGGACGCCTTAGCTTTTGCATGAGGCTTCAGACAATATAATAATATGTATCGCTTGTCAGAAGCTACCAGTGGAATAGCCAAGCAGCTTTAGGGAAGGAGAAAATTCAGATGTAGTAATACTTTGGTCGATCATCCCAATGCTGTGTGTGCAAGTGATATCCCAGCAGGGAAACAGATGTAGTGTAAGCATAGGGAGTTTGTGATATGTTCTGCAGCTGAGGAGGTTGTTGTCAGGACTTATAACTATATTGTTATAAGTCCTTTATAAAATGATCTTTCTTAGTGAACTTTGTTCCCCTCTGTCTGTCACTGTCCCTGTGTCACCAATCCACTTTCACCATATCTGCTGTCACCCTGTGTTAGACAGGGTTCTCTAGAGAAACACAACCAGGACACTTATGATTATATATGTACACAACTTGAAGAAATAAACAGCTAATTAGTCCACAGACCAGTACAGAGGGTTAAGTTCAACTCACTTCCAGGAGACAGTTAATACACTGGCAGTCCTTCAACTCAGGAGAGCTGCTGGATCCAAATTAAGGAAGCAGACAGCTGAGTCTTCTATAGAGCAATACAAGAAGTTCGGTCACCAGGCGCAAACAGCAGGGCAAGTCACCAACAGTCAGCCAGATGACAGGGTCCGACAGTCCCCAGCTCAAGTGATGGATGTATCAGCAGTGTGGTGAAGTAGGTCTCAAAGAAACCACAAACTTTAACAACACGGTCCACAGGTTGAGTGTCCCACAGGTAGTGTAGCTCGCAAGTTGAGGCAGAGAACTAGCTAAGGCAGCCACACACTGGTCCGATCATCAGAGAGCAAGAGAAAGTCGAAGCTTGCTGAGCTATTTATCTCTTTGCCCTTCAATTAAACTGCAACCTTATTAATCCCACATGTGTTTATTGACCAGGTTGACACAATGAAGCACCCCTATCCCTTTCTAAACATTTCAGTCACCCAAGCAGAAACTCAGCAGTACCCTTAGCAATAAATCCCATTCTCCTTCCTCTGCCTCTGGTAATGACAATAACCATCTGCCTACTCTAAAGATTTCATAAGTGGGATCCCATAGTATTTGTTCTTATGTATCTGGTTTATGGATTTTAAAGTTCAACCATGTTGTAGCACGCATCAGAATTTCATTTCTTTTATGTTTAAATAATATTCCAAGGTAGGTATATATTTATTTAGGGTTTTTTTCCTTCTTAATACAATATTTATTTATCTTCCTTCTGTCAAACGCTGAACCAATGATGTTCCCAGGCTGCCCGCGGAGGTGCAGGGAAAGGAACATATAGGGCAGGGACACAGGACCAAGAACTATGGGAGGTGGACGAAGTGGCCACCTCTCATGGCAAAGTGGACGAGAGAGGCCACCATCAGACAAAAAAGCCTGTGGCCTCTGAGAGGGCCAAGCCCAGGGTTCCCAGCGTAAGTGAAGATGAGGCTCCCAAACACAGCCTCAGCTCTAGGGAGGGCGCTCCATGTGTGGCAGTCCCGGGCCCCCATGAATATGACTGCGGTGTCATTGTCCCTGGAGATGGTGCTGGTTTGGAAGCTGCGGCTAAGCATAAGTGAGGTCAGGAACGTGGGGACGTCCCGCTGTGGAAGCGCTCATCTATCAGTGCCTCCAGCTGTTTCAGGACCACTCCGAGCAGTGGTCAGCTCAGCAGCTGAGAGGTGCTTCTGACCAGGGCAGGGGTAGAGAAGAATGTGGTGCAGGCTACATTTTTAGGGGAGGGGGGGCGATGGTAGTAGAGCTGCTCATAGGGCAGAGACTACAAAGAGGGCTCATATTTTGTTTATCCACTCATTTGTTCATTAAAATTGCATGTGCCTATTTCATTTCATCTTTACAAGCTCTGGGTCATCTCTTGCAAAAAAAATCTTGCTAATAAGAATTATATCTCATTTTTACAATTTCTATTTATATCATATTTTAGGGTTTATATTTCTTTCACTCAGAGGCTACACAACACTACTCAACAGAACACTAACCCACTTTCCTGCTGTTTACCTTTGAAATATTTTTGGGTTTAAGAAAAAACTCTGTGTCTGTGTGTGTCTGTGTGTGGGTGTGGGCATGGGTCTGTG